AAAAATAAATAAACAGGAGGCCAATAACTCAGGGGGGCTAATAATTCAGACTTCAACTATATGTGTTATTTTTGTGTGTTTTTACAGATTTATCCTCCAGAGAATGTGTCATAAAAGGGGGCAAACAAAAGAAGTGGATCTACAAACAAGCAGGTAATGTGATATTGCTGTTCTGAAAAAATAAATAAATAGCAGATTCTGAATATTATCTGAATAATTGTATGCATATAAACTTTGTTACATTAAAAACTATATAATGTAATATTTGATTGTTTTCTATTTTTTACAGTTTCCTCAATTCTTTTCTGTTGCCTTGCATTTAATAGTACTATATGGCAATGAGTAAAGAAATTATTAAGAGGATAATTTAATATATAGTATGATTGTAAAATTATAAATTATCAATAATTCTAATATAGGTGAAACGGTGGCACAGTAGGTAGAGTTGTCACCTCAAAGCAAGAAGGTCTCTGGTTTCAGTCCTGGCTGGATAAGTTGGTGTTTCTGTGTGGAGTTTGCATGCTCCCCCCGTGTTGGTGTGGATTTCCTCCTGGTGCTCTGGTTTCCCCCACAGTGCATAGACATGCGGTACAGGTAAATTTGGTAAGCTAAATTGACCGTTGTGAATGTGTGTAAATAAGTGTGTATGGATGTTTCCCAGTGATGGGTTGCAGCTGAAAGGGCATCCGCTGCGTAAAACATGTGCTGGATTAGTTGGCCGTTCATTCTGCTGTGGCGACCCAAGATTAATTAAGGGACTAAGCTGACAAAGAAAAGTAATGAATGAATGAATGAATAAATGATATAATAATGGGGGGAACTATTTGCATTTAGTGTGTCTGTAATAAATAGTAATACTAAGTTTACTTTCTTTTACTCAAACTCACTAAATTGTTCCTATATCAAAACAGAAAAACAACAGATGAAATGGGGAACAGAACTGTATTAGAGATGCCTGAAGAATGTTTATAAAATGTTTGAATTAATAGAATGTCATAATTTCAATATACACACCTGTAAAGCTGCTATGAGAAAGTTGATATTATTCATTCATTCATTCATTTTCTTGTCGGCTTAGTCCCGTTATTAATCCAGAGTCGCCACAGCAGAATGAACCGCCAACTTATCCAGCACGTTTTTACGAAGCGGATGCACTTCCAGCTGCAACCCATCACTGGAAACATCCATACACTTATTTACACACATACACTATGGACAATTTAGCTTACCCAATTCACCTGTACCGCATGTCTTTGGACTGTGGGGGAAACCAGAGCACCTGGAGGAAACCCAAGTGAACACAGGGAGAACATGCAAACTCCACACAGAAATGCCAACTGAGCTGAGGTTCAAACCAGCGACCTTCTTGCTGTGAGGCGACAGCACTACCTACCACTACCACTGCATTGCCCAAAGTTGATGTTATACTCTACACATTTTTTTTTTACAGTAAAACAGAAAAAAAAGATGTGTTTGAATTATGCTATACAAAATATGCTGTTCTCTCATTTGGTGTAAATGTAAATGTTACTATAAATTAAAATTTACATAAAAATTTGAATATAAAACAAACTATAAAACTATTTAAAAAAAAAAAGAATGTTTAATGAGTGAAAGCATTTTACATTTCAAATTTTCATGTTTCACAGTATTTATATCAGACTCATTGCTCTCTGAACTATCCTGCAATATTAAGTATTTTTTGTAAGTAAGAGCGATATATTTCTGCTGCAGAATGGCAAGTACATTCCAACCAGAAAACCTTTCCATATGACAGGATTGTGAAAAGGAGGATGTCCAAAGAAGTAAGACCACTTATTTATGTTTGAATTTACTTAAGTAAAAAAATATAATTTTATAAAAAAAAAAAAAATAAATAAAAAATTTATCCCGTGGTTCTTTTTAATTTAAGCATGATTTAGCTTATAATGTGTGGGTATTTATAGTGGTAGTTGAAATCATTAGAACACAAGGCAAATCTGAAAATGTTGCTTTTTGCCTCTAAAACATTTAATTTTATAATGAGCACAATCATTTTAATCTGATCACAACTAATATAACATGAATTTAGTCCTACTGGTTTGATCCACTGTTAACTATAATATTTGGTATGTGCGTAACATGGTATGTCAGGCATTGTGTCAGCACGTTTCCAGACAACATTAACATTGCTTTCAATGCCTTCTACAACCAAAGCCAATCTAGCTGTGTCACACTCAAATAAATGGTCAGATAGATCCAATGTGCGAGTGAACAAAAAGTATTTATTTGACACAGTCAAACTCAAAAACAGGTGCAACAAATGAGTGCGGTGCTAGGGCAAGGAGAACAGGGCAGGGATCAAGCAGGAAAACAGGCTCTAGAAGAAACTCCTCACGGTCCTGAGCACAGACAGAATAGCACACATAAGCACACGTAACGAACTGACAATGAACACATAACACGTAGCACTTATATAGGCACGATAATGTGAATCAGCTGGCGAACAATCAATCCAACAGGGTGCCGTCATTCCACGTGACCAAAACAATTACACGTGGGCCACAAAAACAAAACAAACCCACATGATCACACAGACATTCCGGAAGAGCGCACAAACCTGCAACCGTGACAAGCTGCTTCTTTGAAAGTACTTGATTGTGTGACATTGACATTGAAAAGTTTTATAGACAATTATGCTGACTTTCTAGATATTTCATATAATAGATATTGTTGTGGCTAGGTCAAACAATTATGCTAAATGTTCAAATAATTTACAGTTAATGTTGCTCAAGGCTCATGTTCTTAAAGGGTGTTGAAGAGGCCAGAGTCAGATGGAAGCCGTGTTCTGGATGGTAAGCGTCACAAATACACAATATAATTCTGTCATACAGTGGTGGAAATATGTTGAACAAACTATGAAAGTTTTTTGATGTTAACAATTTTTCTTGTAGATAATAATGTAAAGAGAAGAGAACCTTTTTTCAAAGCTTAAAATTGTAATAATCTTTAACTAATATATCTGTGTTTGCAGCAAATTACTTATAAAAATTGTTAATTTAAATACCACAGCCTATCCTGTAAAAATAATTATAATTAAATGTCTTTTACTGATTTACAGTGGGATGAAATGGAAAGACTCCTGGGAGCCATTAAATCACTTTTTGTAAAATACAGTGGGTTATAAAAAAGGAATGCTTTTAAAGAAAGATTTGTCTACTGCTGTTGTTGCTATTTTCGGTGCACGTCTTGTTTTTGTTTGTTGTTTTAAATCTACTTTAACTTAGCACATGTTTAAACCCACATTTTGACATTGTATTTTGTTTTATTTTTATTTTTTGAATTGTATTATAATACATTTTTTCTGTTAACCTAGAGTAAAGACTTCCACGCACAAAGATAACCACTTACAGTATTTTCATCTACGTCATATCTGCAGCCACTAAATCCCTCTGCAAAATTGTTTGAATGTTTGTATTTGAAAAAACTAATAAGAAATATATTAATGATTTAAATGTAATAAATGCATTTCTGGTTCCTCAGGAGTTTTATGGCTCACATCAGAGCCATTGAAGTGTGCATTTGCAGCATAGATACATACAAAATTGTTTTTTTTAAATGTTTGTACCACAGAACACAAACTAACACATTTATACATTTTCACTCTGCAATTTATAGTAAGCTATGTGTAGGCACAGTATAACACAAGGCAAAACTATTTATTTAAAAGACATTTGTGAGAAGTGTACTAATTTATGTAGAAATAAGTGCAGAACACACACACACACACAGTGCTCAGCGGAAATTAATATACCCTCTCAGAGATTTTTTCTTTAAATTAATACCTTTTATGGAGTGCTATACAAAAAGGTATTTCTGTATATACATTAAAGTTACATATACATTACACCAAAGTAAAAACTGAAACAAATGTCACAAAAAGATTGATCCCTCTTTTTATTAAGTGCTTTAACTAATTTGTTTCAATATAGTTACTGTGTATATTGTGACACTTGATACAATTTAGTGAATATTACTTTTTACATTGCACTTTTGATTGGTTAATCAAATTAAACTTTAATTACACCTTTATCCACCCCTAAACCTATCCATACCCGCAAACCTGTCCCCACCTTAGCTGTATTTCACCTTCAGAGTATCAGAATTGTTCTAAAAGACATTATGAACACAGTAAGTACAATGTATTTACTTTTTTGATATATATATATATCAAAACGTTTTGGTACATTAATACCAGTGTGTATGGGAGCGCTCTTTCTATGCTGGTACATGTGTCGACACAATACCGGAAACCATCCCATGTGTTTCTTAAGCTGCCCCGAATGAGTGAAACTCTAGGGTTGGGTATCGTTTGGTTTTTCGATACCGGTGCTAAATTGCTACTTTTAAAACGATACCGGTGCCAAAACGGTGCCTGAATCGACACTTTTTAGCCACAAAATGATGGTGGACGACTCTTCAAAAATATTTTATTTGACAAATTATTTTTAAAAAATTATTTTAATAGAACAATATAATTACAGTTTAAAGTAAACATCAGTTCATATTGTATTACATTAATACATTTCCTTTGATCATTTGTTGGTAAGCATGAATTTAAAATTTGCATTATGAAATTACATTAGCTTACTATTAACCTGTGGGGGGCGGGCAGGGGCCACATACTTTTAGGAGCACATTTTAACATATATATCACAAAATACTTAAAACATAATTGGAAGTCATTTATTTTCATGCATCACTCTGCAGTCTTCATAAACAAGATAATTAAATAACTTACTCAAAATAATCTTCCTTGTTCATTTATTTGACAAGCAACGTTGTACTGATGAAGGAGAACACATTTCTAACATTCAAGTACATCAAGGCACATTGCTGCACCTGTACACTTTAACAGGCCTACAGTTGAAGTAATTTTATTTTGCTCTCCCATTCATTTAAAATATTCTTTCTGAAAACTTTTACAGTGTTTCCTAAAACATAATTATTCTGGAGTCAAAATAAGTCATATTTCTTATTGTTTATTTCATGAATAAAAGCTGACTGTTTTTAAATTCAAGACTGCATTTCCTAATGTTAAATTATGTACACTAGATTTCTTATTAATAAGGGTCTCTGCAAAGCCGAGGACTTCCTATATTAAGAGTTAAAATCGCTATTGAAAACAGAAGTCTAATATCATCAACAGTGGACATTTTGATAGTGTTTCACAACATCAACATAACTGAAGTTTAATCTTTTTATTACCTGTGTCAATTTGGGCATCAACTTCTGACGAGTGCGGGGAGCTGATGCGCGCAGCTCCGTCACAGAGATAGCATAGTGCCAAGAAAACAGAGGGAGCGAGCATAAGCGAGTGCCGGAGGGAGCTAAAGCACGCGAGAGAGGCTCTGCCTTTGAGCCCCCAAATGTGTCATTAAGTTTGACATGTTTCCCCCTTACACACACTTTTGTAAAGACAGTTGCTGTGTAAGAATCCTTGCTTGTAAAATACGCTTTAGAATGCTTAGTTTAAGCAAATTGGATGAACGTGATCACGCATGTTGATCTGAAGAGTGTCGCTCTCGCTCACCGAAAACCACTGGTTCCAGGCTAAATGCTCTGTACTCTGCACGTTGCGTGCGTCTGTTCCCTAGCGACAATAACAATCGCCTGATATCGCTTGTCCGTATTCCTCAAAGTTGTTTAGAATTAAATGTTTAGTGATGCTGTGACGCAATGCCTATATGTGTATAGGTATACTTTTTTCATGCACCCCTCACGTCCATCCCGCAGCACCGAAATTCATACGCTGATTTAATACCGGTACATACCAGTTACCAAGGTACCGGTGCTATAATGGCACCGGGTTTCGGTACCCAACCCTAGTACACACTGATCATGTCTACAGTTTATCTCCAGTGTGAATCCTCTGATGTGTTTTCAGGGTTCCTAATTGAGTAAACCTCTTACTGCAGTGTGAACACTTGTACGGTTTTTCTCCAGTGTGAATCCTCTGGTGCCGTTTCAATTCTGCAGCTGTAATAAAAGTCTTCTCACACTCCAAGCACACATACTCTTTTACACTAGTGTGAATCTTCATGTGGTTTTTAAGGTATGATGATTGGCTAAAACTCTTCCCACATTGAGTGCATGTGAATGGTTTCTTTCCAGTGTGGATCATGATGTGTTGATTAAGGTGTGATGAGTGGATGAAACTCTTCCCACACTGAGGGCATGTGAATGGTTTCTCTCTAGTGTGGATCCTCATGTGTAGATTAAGGGATGATGATTTGCTGAAACTCTTCCCACACTGAGTGCATGTGAATGGTTTCTCTCCAGTGTGGATCCTCATGTGTTGATGAAGGGATGATGAGTGGCTGAAACTCTTCCTACACTGAGGGCATGTGAATGGTTTCTCTCCAGTGTGGATCCTCATGTGTTGAGTAAGGGATGTTGATAGGCTGAAACTCTTCCCACACTGAGTGCAAGTGAATGGTTTTTCTCCGGTATGGATCCTCATGTGTTTATTAAGGGATGATGAGCAGCTAAAACTCTTCCCACACTGAGTGCATGTGAAAGGTTTTTCTCCGGTGTGGATCTTCATGTGTCTATAAAGCGACGATGATTTGCTAAAACTCTTCCCACACTGAGGGCATGTTAACGGTTTCTCTCCAGTGTGGATCCTCATGTGTAGATTAAGGAATGATGAGTGGTTGAAACTCTTCCCACAATGAGTGCATGTGAATGGTTTTTCTCCGGTGTGGATCTTCATGTGTCTATAAAGCGATGATGATTTGCTAAAACTCTTCCCACACTGAGTGCATGTGAATGGTTTCTCTCCAGTGTGGATCCTCATGTGTTTATTAAGGTGTGATGATTGGCTGAAACTCTTCCCACACTGAGTGCATGTGAATGGTTTCTCTCCAGTGTGGATCCTCATGTGAGTCTTTAATTTGCTTTTGCTTGCCAAACTCTTGTCACACGGAGTGCAGGTAAAACAACTCTTGTCTCTCACTTTTAACACACCATCAGTCTCTAAATGAGTTTTGTCCTCAATTTTGACATGATGTTCCTCCTCTTTACTCTCCTCGTAGTCTTTAATTAGGTCTGAAATAAAAATAAGTTTACTTTTTAGTAAATCATTAAAACTCAGTGAAAAGGAAGTGAAAACATTAGCTACACAAATCTTAATTTTGATGCACATTAAATGTAAAGACAAAGCAGATCATATTTAGATTGATCTTGTCATATTTACCTCCTGGAGTCCATTACACAGATACACATTTAAGCAGATTCTAATATGATTATTCCCAGATTAATTTTGGTTATATTGATGAGACAAAAATTTAAAAGCTGTAAATGGTCAGTTTCTATTTGTATATATTCGTAATCACAACAAAACAGTTTGTTTTTGTAAAACTTGTAAAGCAGATATGGAATGCTTTTTCATTCTGTGCCTGACTGGTAAACCTGTTAGAACAAACAGCTGAATCTCTGCTAATATTTGCCTCATAGACATATATGACACATGTATAATATCTGCATAAAGCTTTAAATCTGCACCTTTAAATGACAAATGTTCTAGAGGTATGTAATCTGTAACAAATGCAAAGCAGAAATCTAACACTTAACTGTTTAGTCAAAGATAACACAATTAAACACATTGTGCAGTTTTTAAATCAAGGTTTTTATTCTTAAATTGAAGACAAAATACTGAACTACACTGACTTGTGTGAAAAAAGAAATTCCCATTAGAACAATTTTAATTTATCACACCTGCTTCAAGTTCTCTAGCCACACCCAGACCTGATTACTACCACACACGTTCGCAATCAAGAACACACCTAAATAGGACCTGTCTGACAAAGTGAAGTAGACCAAAAAAAGCCTCAAAGCTAGATATCATGCCAAAATCTAAAGACCTTTAAACACAAATGAGAAAGAAAATACGTGTGTCACGAGTTAAAAAAAAAAAAAAGAGTGAGCTCAAATGCAAGTCTTTATTGAGAAGCGAGTCTTGGAAAAACCAAAAGTCAAAGTAAACACCAGGTCGGGTGAGCGCTGAGGAAGTGCCGTAGGAAAAAACAACCAGACACTCACTCACTGGTGGTCTTGGAAACATACAGGGTGAGTAACAAAATAATATGCACACAAATGATCGATAACATACTGACAAACATGAAGGGGAATGATGTGGTATAAACAGGAAAAAAGGGAAACGAGAGCTTCTGTGACTGCAAATAAAAGCAGATGACAAGAGATAATCTGTAATACAGATCAAAGCCCCTTTCACACAGTGATACCGGTAAATATGCAGAAAATTTCCGGAACGACTTTACCGGTATATTCAAAAAAGCGCTGTTCACACAGGCGAGGACGTTACGGAAATTTTCCAGAAAAGACCTTTCACACATCCATTCCAAAATACCGGTAAATTCTGACATCATTTACCACAAATGAGCCTTAAACGGCTGCGCTTGTATTTGTAAACATTTTACTACATTACAAACTCTGTGGATGATCAATATTGTGAACAATACAGTATTGTGAACAATTCTTCGAACAACTTCGAAGAAAACATATGGAGGATCACTTTGGCATGTCGAGATGTTCATAATATGTGCGTGTGCTGGTGCTCACAGGCTGTTTCACAGGCACACGCTAAGCGTGAAGGTAAACAAACAGCGGCTTATCATAAGCATCTCATCGATGATTATTTACACAGTTGGCATTAAGAAGAACATATAAACATTATCTGACTAACTTCTAACTAAATGCGTCTGACTGTTCTGATTGGCTAAAGCAGGTGTCTCACGTCAGCACGTTCTAGACGTGCACGCGCTCTTTCCGGCAATCTTCCTTCTGCATTCACACAGCGCAGCATTCCGGCAAATTACCGGGAATGTTACAACTTCTCTTTCCGGAAAATAGCCAGAACAAATTTACCGGTATTTTCAAAAAGGACCTGTTCACACATACAACTTTTCCGGAAAATTGCCGGTAATTTTCCGGAAAGGTCTGCATGTGTGAAAGGGGCTCAAGAGAAGAGAGCCAAAGAGTAAGGTATCAAAGGAGGATGTCACATCAAAGATTCAAGAGTTACCACTCAGTGGGTTATGTCACAAGACTCGCGTCACTTTATTGTGGCTTTGAGGCTCAATGGGATTCTAATTACTGGCCAAAGTTATATAAAATTACACTTTATTACAATATATATGTTGAATATAAATAATTATAATATGTATTATATAATATTAAATTCAATTACATGGGGGCCATGGGGGGTGGTTCGTTCGAACAACCCGAAACCCCCTGGCTACGGGCATGGCACAGTGATCTGTGTCATTACAATGGCTTTTCCCACAGCTGGTGGCGAACACGAGAGTTCGGTTTGAGTTCAGTGTAGTGCATACATTTTCATTGTTTTCACTGTAAAATCCTCACTGTGTGCGCAGATTAAAGAGACATTTATGCAGAATGCATCTTTGCACCCAAAAACGTCAAACGCAGCACCAGGAACAGATTAAAACAGTTGTTATGTGAACTTGATGTAAAAAAGCCTGCAATGCTTGCACCGCCTTTGTGCTCTACTTATTGGCTCACTGCTCTACAACTGAATGCAAATGATTGGTTAATATCAGCTGTCAATCACTCAGTCAATGCCTTCTGCCTTCAGATGATACAACTGCGAAAATGTGAAGCGCTGAAGATGAGAGAATGAAAATAACATACAGATTTACCAAAAGTTATTAATAACGGCACATCTTATTAGTGATCATGTGCTGAGTGTTAATCTACCATTTACACTTTTCCAAGAGTGGATAAAAGACTTCTAGTTGCTTCAAGTCCACAGGTAACAGTGTTTGGCACTGAACCTACACATTTAAGTGCAAGAGGTATTGTATAATCCTTCATTTAATCCTCACGATGCTGTCAACCGTGCAAGCGGCAGCTATATGTAACATTTAACACAGCTCATGAAAAGACTGTTATTGCTATTAAGATGACATGCAAATAATAAGTTATATATCAATATAAATGTGGGACGGGGCGATGGATCGTGATGCCGGATCAGCATCGTGAAGTTTGTCGGCCATCGGCAATGGACAATGGCATCTAAAAAAAAATACAATTGATCAGCTACACTCAACATCATCTTCTGAAGAGCTTCATAAGAAAATACTTATTCTGCAAGCGGGATAACTCCTTGAGGATCTCCTCATAATATCACGCTAGATTCATTATGAACATGGAGCTGGCAGGTTATTGTGTTACCAACTGAGACAATCCTCAGCAGCTGGTGTTATAGTAGCAGTTAGTAAGGATGATGGCAGTATTATTACTGAACAAAAGGGTATTAGTGATAAATTTAAAAACTTCTATAAAATTTTTTACAGCTCTGAGGTAAACTAAATTGTACGTTTTGAGAGCTTTTTTAATGATTAAGGATTACCATCCCTCTGTGATTTAGATCAGTTGACAAAAGAAGGAATTTTAACACCTTCTGAAATTGAAAATACAATAAAAAAAAATAAAAATCAGAAAAGCACCAGGCCCTGATGGCTTCCCGGCTGAGTTTTATAAGAAGTTTTGTGCCAACTTAACACCCCTGTTGTGCAAGGTATTCGCTAAAGCTCTTGTATCGGAATCACTCCCCCCTTCATGACATAGGCTGTTATAACAGTACTTCTTCAAAAGGTTAAGGATCCACTTAAATGTGAATCTTATCGTCCGATCAGCTCACTCTGCTGTATAAAATCCTGCCAAAAGTGCTGGCAACCAGAGGGGAGTCAGTCATGAGAAAGATAATTCACCCAGGTCTAACTGCTTTTATTGTTGGGAGACAGTTATCTTACAACCTTCGTTGCTTATTTAATATTATTTATTTACCTAAAAATAATACCAATCCAGAGCACTTAATTACTTTAGATGCCCATAAGGCATTTGAAAGAATAGAGTATATCTATTCATTTACAGTGCTTAAAAATTTGGTTTTGACCCTGGACCAAATGGCTTGTTTCCACTGACTGGTACAGTATGGTACAGTTCGGGTCGGTACGGGTCACCTTTATCAGGCTTGCGTTTCCACTACCAAGGGTACCCTTTTAGTGGGCGTGGTGTATGACAAAGTTTCAGTCGACGTCATTTTCGCTCGAGAAAATGTCTACAATAAAGCTGCACAGGTCGTTCACATATCATATGAAAAGCACTTCTCACAAAACAGATGCTTTACACACATAAATACTTGTGTATAAATGTTTATTACTAACTTTTCTATGAACATTAGTTGATTTTAACTGCAGATCAATGACGGTGCGAAATAGCCTACTGTAACGTCTGTAATTATATAAAGTAAAAAAATAAATGAAGATATATGAACACATACAGACCCTTACAGTCTCCGATATGTTACCAACTACAGAACTACACAAAGCAGACATTTCATCCTTAATTAGGTTCAATACAACACAAAGTATAGCCAGGGCCGGAGCAAGCTGAACTGCCGCTCTAGGCAGAGGACGATCATGCCGCCCTCAACCCCAATGTGAAAATGAAAGTGACCGGTTATGAAAATGAAGTGAGGTGTCGCAGACCTTTTTTTCAGCACACTATGCGCGGATATAACTGAGGACGCGCGGGTGCTGAAGGAGGGAGGGAGGGAGGTGTCGCGGACACTGCGCTCTCTATTCTGCCGCCTTATGCGTGGATGTACCTGAGGAAGTGCGGGTGTCGCGGACCTCAATTCTGCCGCCCTATGTGCGGATATAACTGAGGACACGCGGGTGCTGATGGAGGTGTCGCTGAGGCCGCCCTCTCTATTCTGTCGTCTATGGGCGAATATATCTGAGGACGCGGGTGGTAAGGGAGGTGTCGCAGATGCCGCCCTCTCTATACTGCCGCCCTAGGCAGCCGCCTAGGTCGCCTCTATAGACGCACCGGCCCTGAGTATAGCCTACTGTCAGAGTAAACCTCTCATCTGTGTCTGTAATCTTCAGCAGCACATGTAGCCTCTGTTAGAGTCATTCCATTATTCCCAGTTCATATTAGTCCAAAAGGTGACAATAAAGATTAAGACAAGGCAGTTTGTTCACGTTTGCTGAAGAAATAACGTGCTCCTTGGCTTCGCCTTTTTTCCGCGCTCCACTCCCGCGTTTGTCCTTTTCTTTCTGAATGTGTCACAGAATGTGTCCCGCGTTTGTCAGCTTCTCACAGGACCGGGTTTCCAAAGCTTGTCAATAATCAAGCGCATGTTATTATTATCAGCTCAAGAAGTTTGTTATTTCAGATAGAGACGCGCGGCGAGCACAAGGAAGAAAGCGAAACCACTCAGGCTTCAGACTGGCTCATAAAAAACTATGCGGCACAGGGTAAATCCGCTCTTCTCCATGGCTTTGTGGCTGTTTATCAAGATGACGACAGGGTTTGTTTGAGCCCGGATCGACCATGGCTGCATATGTATTTATAATTCCGCTGTAATCATTTGCTGTGTATTTTAAACATGGCGGGTCCGTTATTTAGATTCTGGCTTGTTGTGTCTACGAATGATGTATCTCTGTAAACCAATAGCGTTCAGCTGCGCATCTAGCTCCGCCTTTTAGGGCCTACTCACACTATGCCATCCGTACCGTGCCCAGGCCCCTTTCCCGGATCGTTTGAGAAGTGTGAGTGCGCTGAATCGGGCTCAAGCATGGTTCACTTGGCCGGCCCTGGCCCGGTTGGAAGAGGTGGGCCTGAGCGCGGTTCACTTGGGCTTTGGCGCGGTACACTTGTGTGTGAGTGCAAAACGCGGCAAAGCCCAAAACTGAAAGCGAGACGTGACTTTTAAGGGAGTGTTTCATATGGATTTATTAATCATTCTTACTGTTCAGAGATCGCAAACTGCCGTAGTTTATTAAAGACGAGAACTCCTCACAGCACGACAGCTGCACGCCTTTAGCAGACCTCCTCATTCCTGCAGCACGAGAGCTTAATGATTGTTTATGAGCGCCAAAAGTGGCAGATCTGTTCGGCGAAATATCTGACTGCGTGTCACCGCATCCCTAAGGACTGTTTGGCAAAATATTTGACTGCATGTCACTGCATAACTAACGACTGAAACGATATAACAAGAGAAATCTCCACTGTGCTGCTGAGAGAGCGCTTCTCACTGAACAGCGCAGCAGTGATGACGTAAGCGTGCCGAGGCCCGTTTGTGGTGTGAGTGCGGGCCGTCGGGGCAGACAGGAGGGGGGACAAGCGTGCTTTGGCCCGGTTCGAGGCAACTTTACCTAGTGTGAGTACGGCCTTAGTGTTTGGGACTCTTTCGAAAGGGTGCCAAAAAAGTGGTACGGTACGGTTTGGTTCGGTACGCCTTTTAACAGTGGAAACGGCCATAAAAGCGTACCAAACCGAACCACTTAGTGGAAACAGTCCATAAGAGCTTGATTAACATGGTAAACAATATAGAGACTTCTAAATGAATGAATGTGCGAATATAAAACCAACTTTACCTCTATATGACTGAGTTGATGTTTGAGAATGAAAACCAACCTGTTTGTTCCTGCAGATCTTCCTGTTTGACTGTGAATGTTTCTTCAATCTTCACATCTTCACTCTCCTCTTTAATAAACGCCATCTTTATAACAGTGTGGAGATCAGTCGCTTCAGCAGGAGTTTTTTCTCTGTGTTTGGACACTTTATCCTGTTTAAAATGAACAAAACAATAAAAATGTCCTGTTTAAATAAGTAAAAAAAAATTAACAGAAATAAAATAACTTCTCTTCAACACTTGCTTCAACAGTTATAAAAAAGAAATCAGGTATGTCCAAGCATAGAGGTAAAGTTGGTTTTATATTCGCACATTCAGACTTTTCTCTTAATAATATAACTTCATAAAAGTATTATTTGCAAACTCTAAATAGCGAAATCATATTACCAGCCAATGACTATCAAAGTACGGCATTGTTCACAGTCCAATAAACAATGTTGTTTAGAAGTCATACTTGCATGCTAATTCAAATCGAATATTAAAAGTAACATGGTGAACAATATAGAGACTTATAAATGAACGAATGTGTGAATATAAAACAAACTTTACCTCTATAGTCAGAGCTATAAAGAATGAGCTGATTAAAACTAGTACTCCGTTTCTCATGGATGTATATTTAGAATGGAATGACATTATGCTATTTAATCGATTAAACCTTCATTAAAACACCTATTACACACTGTTTCTGTTTATTTAGTTTATTCAAACAATAGCCCTCATTACTGTGAGTAAAATACTACATAGTGTTCAAATAATGTTGTCAACAGCAGCATTATGCATTAACAGCATAATTTAGCATCAGATGAAAAAAGCCTAAAACTTTAATCTATCGCTTTATATAAGTGTAAACGCTTTAAAACAAACCTTTCTCCAGCTGAATCCAGCGCAAGAGCGGCGCAGACTTATGACATCACATCACGCCAAAATAAAAGTCTTTTCTTTTGTTTCGCTTTTTTTGCTACTTGCTACTTCTTCTTCTTCTTCTTTGCTGTTTTATGGCAGTCGGCAACCAACTTTTGGTGCGCCACCTACTGTACTGGAGTGTGAGCCTGAGTTTGCTACCTCCCGGAGAGAAAAAAAAAATCCTATTAACATACCTACATCTTTATTCTTTTAAATCCTGTTAATTAATCCTGTTTTCCTTAGATATTTCACTAAACTTTCATTGTTATCGTTTCCAAGTATAATTTTTACGCTGATTTCTGAAAAGTTTTGTTTTATAATTTCTTTCTTTAATATTTCTCTTTCTATTATGAATTTCTTGCAGTAACATAAAACATGTTCAACTGATCCTCCTCCTGACAATTATCACACAATCCAGTTGGATGTTTTCCTATTAAATGTAATGTTTTATTTAAGCCTGTGTGTCCCATTTTTAACCGTGTTATTATTCCTTCTATTTTATTATTTCCTTTACCTTTCCTCCAATTTCCTACTTTCTCTTGTAATCTATAGTAATGTCTACCCGTTATATCCCTATCCCAATTATACTGCCACTGTTTTAATATATTCTTCTTCACTATAACTTTTGCTTCTGTTTTACTTAACAAGATATTCATAATTTCGTCTAGTTTGCATGCTTCCTTAGCTAAAAAATCTGCTGTTTCATTTCCTTTAATTCCTATATGTGCTGGAATCCACATAAATACTATTCTAATATTTGCTCTCTGAAGTCTAAATAAAATTTCATATATTTCATTCATATATGCAATCCTGTCTGTTCTTTGATGTCATTGACTTGATTGAACTTAATGCTGAATAGGAATCTGAACATATAACTACTTTCTTTAATCCACTTTCCTCTATCCAATAAAGCGCAGCAATTATAGCCATCAGTTCTACTGTATATATTGTTAGGTAATTGGTTGTTCTTTTCTTAATTGATATGTCTAATTTTGGTACAAATACACCAAACCCTGTTCTGCCCAAATCCAAATTTACTGACCCATCTGTGTATACTTCTGTATATTCTTTATATTTTGTCATAATTTTATCTTCAATTATTCCAGACATATTAGCGATGTTTCTATAGTCCTGGCTATTGCTAAGTAATTCCAAATCAACTAATCCTAAAGGATATAACCATGGTGGTGTTGTTGCTATTGGTACTGTTTTGTTAAAGCCTTTATCAATTAATTCCATCTCTTTAGCTACTTCCATGCTATCTCTTCCAAAAAAGAGAGTTTTGTTTTTTTCATATTCCCATCTTGGAATAAGAACTCTTTTTGCTGGATTACTATTTATTTCCTGCCCTTGTAGATTTATCCAATAATTCATCATTATTTGTTTCCTTCTTAGCTCCAGTGGTATTTCTCCCATTTCTACATGAAGTGCTGAGATTGGAGTAGTTTTATAAGCTCCACAACATATTCTTAATGCCTGGGCTTGTATAACTTCTATTTTTTTTATATTTGAAACAATAAAAAAGTTTGTTGTCATGAGATAATTATAACAATAAAAGATTGGGTCCTTTGGTTTTTCAGTGTTGCCAACTTTATTTTTTGTTTTCTACAATTATTTTAAACTTTTTATTAAGATTTGACATTTTTAATTATTGAAAACTTTAAAATGTAAAATAGTTATTTTTTCTGTGCTCTTTTTTTTTTTTTTTTTTGCATGGTCAGCATTGAAGAGAGAGTAACACATTTCACTGTAGCACTTTGTGTGTGTGTGTGTGTGTGTGTGTTTATTGGATTTGTGATTGTGATAAATGTTGGCAGTTGCTTTAAAAGTATGCTATATACCAGGGGTGCTCAATCCTGTTCCTGGAGATCTACCTTCCTGCAGATTTCAGTTGCTATCCTTATCAAACACACCTAAACCAATTAATTAGGACCTGAACACCACTTGATAATTACAGGCAGGTGTGTTTGATATGGGTAGCAACTGAAATCTGCAGGAACGTAGATCTCCAGGAACAGGATTGAGCACCCCTGCTATATACCATGGGGGTCAAACTCCAAGTTCCTGGAGAACCGCAGAGCAGAAGACTTTAGTTCCCACCCTGCTTCAACATTACCTGTAGATTTCTAACAAGCCTAAATTAGTTTGATCAGGTGTGTTTAATTAGAGTTACAGCTTAAAGTCCCGGTCACACTGCACTTTTCTCCCTATAGACTTCCATTAATACGCATGTGAGTACTGCAGACCTGGAATGCTAGCTCACGCGACAAATTTCATAATTCGCAGCATTGGAAAGTTCAAGCTTGGAGAACGCTGAACGTGAAATCACATCATGTGATTGCTTGAGACCAATCAAAGATCAAAACATGACCTCTCTGGCTTGCTTTTTCAATCTCTAAATATTTTGTTTAATTCCACTACTCGCTTTGTTTAATTCCACTTCGCAGTGCAGTATGACAGAATTTTGCATGCTCAAACGTTAGTGTGACCGCAGCCTTACTGTGCAGACCTGTAATATGCAAGACAATATTTATATCTGCTGATTTCTTAATTTTGTTATACTTTTTCTGTTATTTATTTGTTTGGTGCCAAAACAATAAAATAAATTTGTCTGAAAAATGTTATGCCTTCTATTTTTAAATAACAGCTAAGAATACTGATTGATTTTAGTAACTACAATAACTATATATGACATACTATTAATGTGTATGCAGTATAATGCTGTGATTTGTAACACTACAATACGATAATTAACTATACACAGTTTCCAGTTAGTTACCACTGCTGCTCTATTACAGTAATTAACTGGCAACACTGTTGCCAGCTACTCACTGTAATGGTTCAGTTACAGTAAATAACTGGCAACACTGTTGCCAGCCACTCACTGTAATGGTTCAGTTACAGTAATTAACTGGCAACACTGTTGCCAGTTACTTACTGTAACCGGACTTTTACAGTGAGTAGCTGGCAACAGTGTTGCCAGTATTCTACTGTAAAAATCCCCGGTAAGGTCTAACAGTGTAGATCTATATTAATTGTTAATTTAATTACTATGCATTTTTTATTTTTAAAAAATGTAGTTTCTGTGTTTGTTCTGTATTTATCTATTTATCCCATTGCTATATACATTTACATGCATTGTTGTATTTGTATTTGTTTGTGTTTTTAATCTGTATATATCCATTTACTTTTATACATTTACATGCATTGTTATATTTGTATTTGTGTTTTTAATCTGTATATATCCATTTACTTTTATACATTTACATGCATTGTTGTATTTGTTTGTGTTTTTAATCTGTATATATACATTTACCTAATTTTTATATTTATAATTGTTTATTTGCATTTAATTTGTTAAATGTTTACATGTAATTCCTGATAATTCTGTATGTAACTTTATCTAATTTACATATATTTATTTGTATTTTAATTATATGCATTAGTCTATTTTTTGTTTATTTTATTTTGTATGGATCTGTTTATTTAATTTATACAAATTATATATTTGTATATATCAATTTATTTGCTTTTTTTCAAGCCATTTCATTAAATAAAGCAATTAAAATTAAGCATTCCTTTTAATGTGTTTTATATTTAGCTACCTAGTGTAGATGTGAGCCATATCTAACCCAGAAGTTAGCCACAACTGAACCAGATCTGGGCCAGATCTCTGAAAGTGCATGGGCCGCATATGGGCCAGATCTGAGAAAGTGCATGGGTCACATTAGGGCCAGATCTGAGAAAGTGCATGGGCTGCATCTGGGCCAGATCTGAGAAAGTGCATGGGTCACATTAGGGTCAGATCTAAGAAAGTGCATGGGCCACATCTGGGCCAGATCTGAGAAAGTGCATGGGCCGCATCTGGGCCAGATCTGAGAAAGTGCATGGGCCGCATCTGGCCCAGATATGGACCATGCTTTTTCTGAGATATGGCCCAGATCTGGTTCAGTTGTGGCTGACTTTTGGATCCTTATGTCAGCCACAATCAGGTTGAGTCATCGCCGTCATTCCGCGCGGTATGTGGGCCAGATGAAAATGGGGGATGTGGGCCATATCTGGGCCAGATGTAATTTGCTATCTGGGTCCTAAGTTTTAAAGTCTTCACAGTGATTTACATACTTTGCACAGCGACATGGATACCTCCTAATGGTGTTGAAAGAGTCACATACTGTATTTATAAG